ATTGTGTAAAGTGCATTTGTACATTCATTGCCCTCATCATTCTCAAAACATTTAATTTTATTAATTCAATTCCTTTCCGTAACATTTTTACTTTCCTTTTTCATTGTTTGGAATTGCTTCCTTTTGGAATTTCTTTGCTTCTTGATGAATAAAGCTCCAATTATTTGAAGTCTCAAAGTAATTGGCTTAGGCTGGTCGCCACTGTCCGCTCCCTGTGGGCAAGCCACAGCCACAATGAAGAATGGCTGGGTCCCTAAGCAGGAGGAAGGCAGCAGGGGGACAGCAGTTGGCAGAGCTGCAGGTGGCTGGCTCCCCTGGAACTTGAACTCACTAACTGCCGTGCTCTTCCTTAGCAGTGTAACTTGCCTGGCCACTGGCCAGTGTCGTAGCCTTCACCTCCTCCCCTTTCCCAGACACTGATGCTTTGCCAAGTAAAACAGCTAACAAGCCAGACTTGAGGAATCGCGAGAAGCAACCATCCCCACTGGCACGATGCTGTAGAGCAAGCTTTCAGACCACAGACCCCAGCAGCAGATAGAAAAGGCACCTGAGCAGGGCTGTCAGGAGTGCTGCGTTTCCTGTTCTGGTTTCGTCACTCACTGACTGACCTTGAACAATTCACGGCCTTTCTGCACACCTCTACCTGTAGCATTAGAGGTCAGGATAATACATTTTAAGGCTCTCCCAGCTCTAAAAACATGTGATTCTAACTTTTCAACCATCCTGGGAGACTTGTTCTAAGGTGCCAGCCAGTCACTTCCAACTCACAGCGACCCTACGTGCAACGGCATGAACTGATGCCCGGTGCTGTGCCACCCTCACAGGTGACATCTTGGCCCCTTACGCTTTAAGGAGATGCACTACAGGGTTTGGTTTCTTGACTGCTGCTTCCATGGACACTGATTTTTGATCCAAGCAAAACAAACTCCTCGATAGCTCCAGTCTTGTCTTCATTGTTGTGATGCTTGCTGGTTCCGTGGGGAGGATGTCAATTTGATGTTGAGACGTGCTCTCCACCCTGAAGGCTGAAGTCCTTGATCTTCAGCAGTAAAGGCTTCAAGACTCTTCCCTTTCAGCAAGTATTGTTGTACATCCGCCTACTGCAGATTGTTAGTAAATCTTCCTCTACTCCTGACGCTGTGTTCTTCTTCAAATAATCCAGCTTCTCGGATTATTTGCTCGGCATATAAACTAAGAATGGTGAGAGGATGCAAGCTTGATGCACATCTTTTCCGATTTTGCAAGGCACAGTGTCCCCTTGCTCTGTTCAGAAACAGGGTCTCTTGGTCTGTGCACAGGCTCCTCATGAGCACAGGCCAGTGTCCTGGGATCACCACTCTTGACATTGTCATCTACAGTTTACTATGACAGCACAGGGAAAGCATCTGTAGTCAGTGAAACGCAGGTGAGCATTTTTCTGGTATTCTACGCTTTCAGCCCAGATTCAGGTGGCATCAGTCACAATACTCCTTGTTCTTCTGTCTTCTGAATCTGGCTTGTATTTATGGCAATTTCCTATTGATGGATTGGTGCAACCATTTTTGAATTTATTTCAGCAAAAATTACTTGGATGTGATACGAATATCATTGTTCAATAATTTCAGCATATTGTTGGATGTCCTATCTTTGAAATGGTCACAAGTGGGGATCTCTTCCACTCAGTTGGCCAGAAGACAGGGGACAATGCCAGTTTTCAGACAAGGAAAGTGAAATTCAAGTGATCAAAAAATAAAAGCATGCCTGGGCCTACGAATTAAATGGCCGAAGTGGAACTTGAAACTAAGTCTTTCTCCCTCACTCTACAGTTGACAACACATTTTATTCAGAGGCACGGGAAGAGTGTTAATTACCTGGAAAAGCTGATTCAATAATAGAAATGTCGACCATGAGAAGTGGAAAATTGCCAGTCCGAAGATATACAGAACCCACGGGGAGCAGGCCACAATCTGATTGAGGTAGGTCCATAATCCGTCTTGTTTGAACGTTGTGGTGCAATGATTGGACCAATCTGTGAATCATAAAAGAGGATCGAATGAGTGATGATTTTCCAAGAAGATGTAATCATTCAAGGAGAACAGAAAGTAAGACATGAAAGCATCTATCGGAACTCTAGGATTTTGTCTCCCAGATGACAGCTCAGCTAGCGAAGCTGAGAAACGGCCTCCAGTGTTAATGAGCTACGACAGCACTGTCTCTGTGCTTGACAGTGAAGGAACAAAAGTGAAGAAGCTGTTCCACGGAACCTTCTCCAATACCAGCAAACTCAGCATAAAAATGCGCTGGCAAGAACAGCTCAAGGATTTGACAACTGAAAATGATTATATTTAATAAAATACTCTCCTCCAGTGAGTCCCACGTTCCCCTGGTTTATGCAAGAGAAACATCAACGCTGAGATCAGTTTAAAAATCTGAAGTAGAATCCACCTTACCCATGTGGCAGCAAGTGATGGGCCTATTACAAAACTGAGTATCAAACGCTACTGAGAGTTCCAACATGTCATTAGTGTTGCTATCACAGCTCCTGGCACAACCCAGCACCACGTGGGTATCCTTCTGCATGGACCCCGGAACTACTGTAGCACAGGACGGCTGGCCAGGCTAGGGAACGCGTGAGCCAAACACCCCAGGAAAAGAACACACAGTAAGTGATACGCTCCCCATTCAGCTTCTCACCAAGAACATCCAGAGCTAAAGGCCTCCGTGATCTTGAGGGTGAACCAGGCAGCTGGGAACATCAGGAATGGTTGTGTAAAGTCAATGAATTCTACAGGTTCCATGCCCACGATGAAAGGTGGATTCTTCTTGAAATGAGAATTCTGTAGACGGGCCTCTTGAGGTTTCATAAATACCTCTGACATGACACAACGCTGCTTAGACAGTGTCCCTAAGCAGCACCTAAGAGCTCCTGGAACCGGAAGGAAACACGCCCACGCTTCACTAACAACTGTCTGATTTCATCCTAAAAACCTAGTTTCTTGTTTGGGTCTCATTTGATTCCCAACCATTTCCCATGGCTGTCTGCTAGGATCACACTTAGAGCAATCATCACAGAGGAACAATGAAGGGAACAAGTGAGGCAAACGACACTCTCTGAGTCTCATCAGGACCCACCCTGAGAGAGACGCTCCCCAGGCCCGACAGCACAGGAAAGGGACCTAACTTCCATCAGCAGGTGGCGGGGACAGCTGTGGCCTGTGAAAGCACCTGTGCTTTCCTTCAGCCCACCCGGTCCTCCTGCTGCCTCTGGGAAGCCCTCTGAGAACGTGGCATGACCCCAAACGGGAGTTCTCAGAGGACGGATGGCAAACTTGACAGCAAAGAGACAGCTGCCCCAGACCAGGGCCCTTGGTGACCTTCATGTCGGAGGCTGAACTCCCCTCTCTGCTAGAACCACCAGCCACCTGAGACCAAAAGGGCAGCATGTAGTGCAGAGAGGAGGAATTGAGGAGCTGATACCAAGGGCTCAAGTAGAAAATGCACTGGAAATGATGATGACAACATATGTACAAATATGCTGGATACAATGGATGTATGGAAGCTCACAAGAACTGTGAGAGGCCCCAATAAAATGATTTTTTAAAAATTGGTTGCTCAAACCTCCAGTTCTCCTCAGGAGAAACATGAGATTGTTTACTCCAAAAAAAGAAAGAAAGGAGAAATGGAAGGAGGGAAACAGTATATTGAGGGGAATGCAATGGTTGAATTGAAACAAAATGTGTACGCATTGTTGAATGTTAAAACTGATGATCTGTAAACTTCCACCTGAATCTCTCTCTCTCTCTCACACACACACACACACACACACACCACACACACACGAGCTACAAGTGGCTGTGTACATTATTTACGGAACAGACTATTTTAACTTAGTCTAATGCATTCTGTCAAGTGGTCATTGGCTAGCAAATGACAACTTAACCTTTTCCATCTCCGGTGAGCTCTGACAAAGCTTTTCCTGACCCTGAACTAAGAATCATTCTCTCGGTCGTCACTTGTAGCATGCTGCCCCTCCGTGGGGGTGAAGACGGACCTCACAAGAGGCCACAGATGGGGCGGGGCCGCAGTAGCAGAAGCCTTCCTGGCTAAGGACGGCGGTGCCAACAGTGAGGCCTCATCAGGGGAACAGAGGACAAGCTCGTCTTCCTGCCCGGGAACGGTGGAAAGTCACAGTACGCCCTGCATCAGGGTACAGATGCGCTGTCAGAATACAGATGGGATACACGTGACAGAACAGGCCCGTCTACACAGCTGCACGTGAATGGGCAGGAAAACTTCCTGAGGAAGAAGGCAGAATATGAGAACCGGGTCAGAGAAAGAGCACACGGAGACGTCATGAAGCCGCATGTGACGGAAACTTAATTCTGTCTTTATCGAGGCCGCCCTGTGCCACACGCAGACGCCAAACAAAGGTGACTATTTTTAGTGAAGCGGGCCAAGAGGGGACAGACAGGCGTGGTGCCATGTCTGGCTCTGTTCCCCTAGGAGCAGGTCCAAGAGATGAGCTGGTCCGAGGACCCACTTAAAAAGGTTTTCCAGGAATATGCCTTACTGCCAGGCCTTAAAAGGCAGCTCTTTCAACGGCAAGGAAAATGGTCAAAACAATCTTTTCTTTCATACCCCACGGGGCATAATTCTAAGAGGTTTTACAACGCCAGTGCTCAGGATCACTGGCGGCCTTTGCCAATGCCGGAGCCCTGCGTTCTCAACTCTGCGCCGTTTAACTCACTTGACCCGGGGAAGGCGATGCTTCGCTGCCGAAGCGCTCCCGAGGGCCAGGGGCACCCAGACCCAGGGCTGACGCCTCTGTATGCTGATGGCCCAGCAAACGAAGAACCCAGCTCACAGGCGGTTGAAGTCACAGGTTCTGAAAATGAAAACTAGAAACAAACCCTGCCGTTTGGGATGCTTCCTGGAAGGGGCCCTGGGAGGCTGGGAAATACATGCAGGAAGAAGCATGGCCCCAAACTTAAGCTCGAGGCCCAAAAGAGCAGCGATAGGAGGGAGGGTGGTGGGCTGGGGTCCCCAAGGGAGAAATAAGAAAATGTGGAGGGGAAAAAGAACGCCCAAACCTTTCCTAACATCTTCTTCCATTACTGTCGATTTTAGCTCAAGCAGCAAAGGAGTGAGCTACACGTGGGTATGAATGGAGTGTGCAAGGGGCAGGAAATGGCTTAGACGCACAGCCCTCAAACCCTCCCCCACCCTCCCCCAACAGACCAGCGAGAGGCCGCAAACAAGTCATTAGGCTTGATGGCAGTGACTGTGCTTCGGGTTTGGGAGGTGGGAAAGACAGTGAGATGCCGGACTCATAGCCAAAAGGCTGGCAGTTCAAATCCCCGTCCCCGGAGGCCCCTCGGCAGACCGGTCTGGCCATCTGCTTCTGAAAGGTCCCAGCCTTGCCCATGCTTCAGAGCACAGCTCTTGCCAGAGCACAACACACAGCCTGGGATCGCACGGTGAAACTAGCGGCGCTCATCAGAAAACCCACTCCACCAGCGTCCCGCAATCCGCGTGCACTCGCCCCTGCCTTCCTCCCTCAGTTGAGACCCTGTTCTCAGTCAACCACAGCTGCCTCAGGGCAGCAGATTAGCGATTTCTATTACAAGAACGCCTCTCCTTTAAGCCGATACTGGGAATTTCTTTTCCTCCAGAGTACGTGGTCTAACATTCTCTCCCCAAGTATTTTCCCCAACCGTTCAGGGACTGCGAGGGCTTTCCCATCAGCTCTCAGCTGCGACTTGGCAGGCATCGCAAGGCACTGCTTCCCGTGCGCGGCTCGTGTTCCGTAATGACTGTGACCACTGAGCCCCATCCGTGGCCTCAGTTTGTTTTCTGTTTTAATTCCTTATCAGGCTTCGGTCTGCACGCCAGCTGCTGATTTGCCTTTCCGCCACTGAGGAAGTAGCTGCACTTGCCGGGGACCACCGCGTCCCCAATGCATCATGGCAGAGGCGGAGCTGACCTCCTCTAGCACTTCCGCCCACTCCCCCAAAGAGCCATGGCTTCTTTTTCACCCAGGGCACGGTTCAGCAGCGCCCGGCCGGCCGGAGGGCGACACACCAGGGGCAGCAGTCGTGGGTCAGGGTCATGAGTTTCTGATAAGAAAAATTATACTTACAGACAAACGATTCATATATAATCCAGTCACACACCACGGAAAGGAAAAATAAGAAGAATATGTAGTAGTGGTGGTTGCCAAAGCCTAAATCAAAAAGGGGAAAAAAACAAAAAACACATTTAATGCTTCTTACAGTGATATTCTAGATTTATATAGTACTAACCATTTTCCTATAAAAAATTCTCACCAAGTAAAATAGAAATAGGGCTGTTGCTTTTAAACATCATTACACAAAACAAATCAAATGTTTCTGGTATGCCACGGGCAAACGTCCACATTAGCAGAACTCACTTGTTGACCTAAAAGGAGGCACTTTTCAACAGAACGGACTGTATTAAGTACAGTAGCTGTAGGCTGCCCTCTATTGGTCTGGAGGGAGAGGAGAAGGAAGGGTTCTAGACAGACTCAAGTCATCCCTCTCTTCCTTCCTTTCCTCCGTCCTTCCAGGTTCACCCAAATACTCTCTGAGCACCAAGCAGTGACCTCACTGGGGATCCCAGCACAGTGCTAAGGAGTCAGCTAAGGTGCGATGGTTGAAGGGAGCCAAAGAGGGACCCCTGAAGCGTGAGAGTGATCTACAGAGAGGAGCAGGGGAGGGCGCCCGGTAGCCAACCTCTCCTCTTACAGGCCGACTCTGCCATCCTGGCCCTGAAAGGGGCTCATGCTAATGATACGCACACTCCTCAGATGGCACACCCTGTTCCCCGCCATCTCCTGAGCAGGAAAGCCCAGTAGAAGGAGCAATACTCGTTGGATCATGAGACCAGGGTGCCTTGCTGTGTGTCTTCTGGTATGCCTGACTTCTCTGATGCAGGGTCCTGACTCTGATCCGTTCTTATTCTTGTCTGTTTGATGGGCGTGGGAACCAAACCGGCTGGAGTCTCAGAAAACACTGTATTAATTGCAGTGTGGGAACAACATATAAACTCCTGACTTCCTTTTGTCTACTGCCATTCAGGGTTGCCTGCCATTGCCATTATCTGATCTCTACAGAAGGATGGGGCCCATCGATAGTAGTCCCTGAAGAATCATCCATCTGCCTGTACTTGAGGAGCAAAAGAGAACAACACGATGCACCCAGGCAACCTGACTGAGCCGAACCAGCTCCTGCAAGGCATCGATTGTGAAACTATACTCTCTCCTGAGGACTGTGGCCAGAGTTTCTCATTACACACACACCACCATCACCATCACCACCACCACCACCACCACCACCACCAACAACAACAACAACAACAACAACAACAACAGGCAACTGGTGTTACCATGTCGTTCAAAGGAAACCCAGGGCTATAGAACAGGGAAAGGAATATTCCCGAGGTGGAAGGCAACCCGCAGGGTTCTGATCTTCAGGGATTTTAGCTCCTACCTGAACCTTGAAGGAGGCAGGTGGAGAATACAGACAAGCTTCAAATATGAGAAGAGCAGGGCATTTGGAGTAGAAAACTGATACTTATGAGTGACCTCAGCAAATAAATTTCACCATCGATACACCTTGTCAGCGCTGAGACTGAGCTGCTCAGATCAACCCGAGGCACACGGATGACCGAGAGGGATGATGCTACAGGAGAAACCACACTCTACATGGGGATCACTACTGCGAGGCCCTGAACAACTGTCTTCTAAGTCTCATGCTAGAGAGGCTCCACTGACAAAGGAGAGGTCCCAAACAGACCCCCAGGATGCCCTTCCCCTCCCCCCGGGTCACAGAGTGACTAAATGTCTGCCTCACGTCACAGGGAGAAGCAGTAGGTTGCGTCTCACCGATGCACCGTCCAGTCCACAGGCAGTGTTGGTCATAGCGAGCCACGCAGGAGTTGCACACATGACAGTGGAGCGACCGCAATGGCTTCCGGATCTAAATGGGCGACCGAGAGAGGCCTGAGCAAAAGCCCGTGTTTCCAAATGGCAGCAGATCCCTCGCACAGTTTACCTCGAAGTGGAGGAGACAGTGGCACAAACAACCCCAACCGGCCCATCGGCTCACATAGGCTCTGCTATGCCTTCTGGTTGTGCCTTTCCCCATGTCAACCTGAACAGGCCGCCACAAAGGGAGATCCAATTCCTGAGCGGACTAAGGGAAAATGAGGCAGCATCCCGTAACAGAAGGCGCACTGGGCTGGGTAAAAGGACCGAGAATTCCAATTCTTGTCTCGGTCTGCCAATACTTGTGGGTACTCCCTTCCTCCCCCCAACCCTTGATTTGTCAGTTGCACGATGAGAGGTTTCACTAAATGTTTTCTAGGGTCACATGAGCCTTTGACTTGAAGTTGCTTCCCATAATTTCCTCGTGACAGGAAAAACCACACAGCACATACTATTTGGATGTCTCATCAAGAGAGCTACCACAGGCAACTCCAAAAGTTACACACATCATTCTTCCACAGGCTTAAGAGCGTTGGTCCTACAGTGTTTCAAAATTAGGACCCGAGAGCAACAAAACCATGTAACGGTGCCATAAAGGTTTGACAAATGCTTACACGTACCATGCTATTTACTTTTACTGTGGAGGGAAAAAAAAAACCAGAGAAGACTCACTCACAAGACAGGATGCACAAAAGGTTCGGAAGTCCAGAGCACCAGTTTCGGCCAGGGTGATGATATTCTGAAAGACACAAAGCTGACCTGACAACCCTGTCTGACTGGGTGACAGAGTGCGCATAGTCAGACACATTCTCAAACCGAGGTAGCTAGAAATGCAATTTGAAAGACTTGCCACCACAGCATTTCATGCTTGAATTTTTTGACTTATCAAGGCCACATTTCAAACCGCAGCCAGTAAGTTAGAATGCACAAAATTACACCACAAACCTTTCTCTCTGCAAGTAGTCACCATGTCCCAGTTGACCCCCCAATCGGTTAAAGAAACACACACACCATCAGCATAGGAGGGTATGTAAACAAAAGCACGGCTACGCAGTCATCGAAACCTTCATTAAACACACATATCCGAGTGTGACGCTAGTGTTTCTCGACATGGCCTCCCTCTAGGTCTCCAGACTTCTGAAGGCGGTGTTTCTACCTCTGAAGGCCCCTCGTGGTGCTGCTGGGGAAGCACGGTCCGTGGTTCATATCCAGCAGTCACTCCACGGGGAGAAAGATGAGACTACTATGTGCTCCAGTTAACCCGCAGTCTCGGAACGCTACATCAAGTCCCAAGCACTGGACTGACCCAACAGTGGGTGGTGCCTGAATAAATCTAGAAACACTGGTGTCTACCACGTCAGAATGGCAGTGTGGGCAATCTCAAGGTACTCCAATTGTATTCCTTTGGAATGTTCTATCGCTTCTGGGAACAAAAAGAAGGCCGAAGGGACAGGATATGGGTTATAGGGTGGATGGGGTAAGGTTTCCCAATCCAATTCTCACAGGCCAGCCTGTGCTACCCTTGAAAAAAACACAGGTGCATTGTTATCAATTGGTGGTTGGTGGGGAAGGCCCTCAGCACAACTTTTTTCATATCAACGCAGATTCCAATTTTCTTAAAATGTTTTCATAATACGCTCCTATGATCAACTTGGGTCCTTCAAGAAAGCCTATCGAGATTGCCCCTGTGGATAATGAACCAGCCACCATAACCTCTTTGCTTTGAATTCATCTTTCAGGTCTTCTTGACCTTCAGTCCGATGCTTGATCCATCTAGAAACTGCAGTTTGGTGGGGGGTGGGGGGGTGCAGCCTTCTCAAACGTTTGTTGCAAAGCTGCAATGGCTTTGGGAAGATGTCCACTTGAGTTTAATGGGAAAGTTGACATTAGTCCTGATCTAAAACTTGCTTTTCCCCCCATGGCACAAAAAAGATCCCCTTTTTTTGAAGGCACAGAACAAGACAAGCCTATTTCTAAGAGAACTTGCTTGCAGCCATCCACTGCAAAGACATGCTTCCACACATGCCGTGCAGGAATGAATTGGGATCCAGGAGCAATACTTTCTGATTTGCCTTCATATAGCAAAACTATACGATGGTTACAAGCACCCAGGGTTGAGTCTCCTCTTCTCCCAGAAACACAGTCTTTACACCCCCCTTTACCACTCTTTACCACTTTCGGGTCTTCTTGACCTTCAGTCCGATGCTTGATCCATCTAGAAACTGCAGTTTGGGGTGGGGTGGGGGGGAGCCTTCTCAAACGTTTGTTGCAAAGCTGCAATGGCTTTGGGAAGATGTCCACTTGAGTTTAATGAGAAAGTTGACATTAGTCCTGATCTCAAACTTGCCTTTACCACTCTTTACCACTCCTAAAGACTCATAAGCAACAGAAAATGAACCATGTCATTCAGTATCGCCACACTTGAGGGGTAGCCCCTGCCAATAGAGCGCTTTCCCTTGACTTAGTTGCCCTTCATTTACAAAACGGGAAAAATGTAAGTGAAATAAGGAAAATTTAAATGGCATCCTAAAGAAGTGGGAGACCATAGAAATGGTTTTTGGAAGATACAACACATAGATGGAGAAGCCTCCCCTTGGGGGGCTTGCATCACCGCACATGGCGGGGCGTCTATTACAGTAACAGGCCTTGCAGGTGCGACCTTGAAAAAACCCAGTGTGGCTGCTGGCCTGCTGGAGTTTGCACACCCTCCTGTTTGAAGAGCGAAAGCTCACCTTGTTCCTCTCCTCCTCGGACGACTTGGTGTAGCCTGGATCAGTTGCCCAAGTCTTGTAGAAAAAGTAGAGGAAGGCTAGGATGCTGAGAACGAAAGTGAAGTAGAATGGGCTGCCTGTCAGATGTTAAGACCAAGTTAAGGGTAACACAGGGAACTCCCACGGAGCCTGGCAGAAAGACGACGCAAGAGAAAATCTGTACTGGTGCCCAGGAAGCTCTCGGCCAGGCACTCCATCCACTGCACACACCGCCGCCAGGTGTGGCCTCAATCTGCGCTGCAACCCCCAGGAGTTCCTGACTACGACGTGGCTAATAAGTAACCCTGCGTTATTGCGAGCAGGTACACCAGGGATAGCTGCAATTCACGAGGTACGCTCTGAAAACAAAATATATTCAAGAGCCCAAAATATATTCATCTCTCATGGTGTAACTGTGGCCAGCCTGTGAATAGCTGGGAAAATATTTTCTGACAATTTTGACTAAGCCATCCAAACAAACTCCTTCAAACATTACAACTGCAACGATTTCCCTAAAGATTAGATTCAAGCTTGCCAAATTTTGCTTCCTCAGAGTTTATTAACCAGTCTTTCCAATTTTGTTAGGCTGAGCGAATTTAGACACCAACAAAAGGAACTCCACTCCTTGCCAAGTAATTACAAATCAAGTGGTCCTGGGGGAGGGCAGATATTCTGGACACATTAAGATGAAAACTGTTTCAAGGATGCTAGTTGCCTTGCAAAGGTTTTAAGGAGGTATACATTATAGAGTAAGATTGTGCTGCACGTAAATACAAGTGACTTTACAGTATTGGTGAGCTTATTTTTCTTGCTCAATTTAAACCCTGCTGGACAGGGTGGGTACAACAACAAGCAAAGCAGCGTTTGAATGACGCTCTCTAGTGGCAAACGGGCTACAAAATAGACTCTCAACCCTTGATGTTCAAAGTGGGGCGCACAACCCGTGGTGTAGACATCTCCTGGGAGCACACTTGAAAGGCAAAACTTCATGCAGCAGCCCCGGCTTTCAGATTCCAGCTCTTGATGCTCGTTTCACAGACCCCGCAGGTGATCCAAATGTCTTTGACGTCTGAGAGGCTCTGGTCTAACCCACAAAGACCACCACAACCACACGCGTCAATTCTGACTCGTAGCAGTGTTTAAAGAGTGCTGGGGGTGTCGTCAGTTATGAGTGGGGCTGCTAACCACAGAGCCAGCCGTTGAAAACCCTGCTCCGTGGGAGCAAGATGCAGCTCTCTGCTCTTAAGGGGATGTGCAGCTTCACAAACCCACAGGGGCAGTTCTGCCCTGCCTTCTAGGGTCACCATAGGATTACTGGCATCCCTTGCTGTTATCTACAGGTATTCTGGCTTCAAAAAACAAAATAAAAGATATGGGCCACCATGAACCAGTTCAAAGCCCTGGCTGACTCACTGGGCAGTCCTGATCCTGCACACTGAGCTGGGAGCTGACTGCTGTTTTGGCTCCTGTTGTAAATGACTTATAAACGGCAGATAAGTAAAATCCAGTCAGAATCACTGACTGAACCCCGCCCCCACCTTTCCAAGTGAACAGGAGTGCCACAGCTGGGGGGGAGGGTACTTTTCTGCCTGGTGTGAATTGGGATGGAGCAAGTCTACCCAGTCCTCCAGGGTCACTATAAAATGGGATCGAGTCCACGGTGGGTAATGGACAAAAAAAGAAACAGACTGAATTAAGAATACTGAAAGACCTTCAGGCAAGAAGGGCCTCTCTTAAGAGAGCCATATGCTATCTTCTCTCATAAAATTCTTATCAACACACATAACATCGTCCTGGTGAATCCAGAGCTTCAAACCAGTTCATTTTGGTTTGCCTTCCACTTCCAAGAATCTGCATTTCCACCCAGATATCATGAATCATAGTCTGTGATTACTTTTCCAAGTAAATGGAATCGCCACCTTCCTTGCTTGGATGCCTGTACTTGTAGGGCTCGCCTATGACCTGAAACACTCCCCGGTGCCCCTCATTCTGATACCTTTAGAGTATTCATGTCCTAACTGCTTCCAGGGCTAACTGACATCACCCTCCGCTTGCAGGCCTTTTCTGGTCCCCTACAGGAGGGCCCACTTCCTTTCTCAGGCACGTCCAGCTCTTTGTAGATAAGTCAACCTCTCAGTGAGCTTGTGACCTAACAGGCAAGTCTCTCAATATGGAGGGAAACCACGGTGTGTGGTGATTTCCATCAATCAGTCAGTGGGCATTCTTTAGGTCTGTTAGATCCACACTACCCACGGCCTATCCATCTACCCGACATCAGCTCATTCTCCTGTTGATTCAATGAATGTTTATTGAGTACTCATTCTAGTCAAATACTTTGGCTTCCGAGTGATAAAAACCCCATGTACTTGAAATTGACTGGCAAAGATCATGCCTGCAATATCAACAGCGACACTGCTCCTTACACGGTCCAGCTGTGCCCCTCTGCACCTGCTCTTGTTGGACGTCTTTTAAGGGAGAGACTTGAAAGCCGAGCAAATCCACTCCAGGCGTGGACTGAGCAGTGGGCCATGAGGTGGCTGTCTTTGCCTGGATACTCAAGCCCTCATAATAGAGAGTGAGCACACGCTGGCCTCCTGGAACGCCAGGGCAGTGCCCACCCCGGGTTCCATTGCGCACTCCTCGTTCTGTTCCACTTGCCCTGATCCCATGACTTGTAAAGCAGGGTCTCTGGAATCAAGTGTAGGACTCAGCTCCGTCAGTGTTGGCAGCATCACACACGTGAACACCCAACAGCTCCCCGTCGCAGGATCTTGCTTGACCACCGACCTCAGTAAAGTCCTATTCTCTTTCATTCAGTGCCCGCCTCATAAAAGCCAACCACACGGCTTGCTGAACATACAGAGAAGTGGAATGCCTGGGGCGCTTCTCCAGAGCTGCCCTGAAAGCGGGTTTTAGCATGCGGCCACTTTATAGACTTTTTCTCTGAATAAGAATATTCACCATCAGAATAAAATGAGAAAAAACTTGCCAATCTGCTCCTGTGCCAAACACAGTTTTGGAAACCCCGTGGGGTAATTCAACTCAGTCCTCTAAGGTGACCATGAGTCAGAATCAACTCCAGGGGAGACAACAGCATTAACATATTTATTATTGATAAGATACTCATCACAGAACAGCGGTGGTGGGCAACACCTTACAGGTGGCACGGCCTAGTAAGCCTTGTAGCCAGCCCATGAGCTTGGTACTGTTGCCCCAATTTACAAGAACATTTGAGACTCAGTGAAATTACATGACTAGCCCACGGGTAACCAAGTAGGAAGAAAAGAAGCTAAACTCAAACCGGTCTGCGTGGATACAAAGATTCCGCTTTCCAACAGTGGCCCAGACCCCTTCTCATAACGGACCAGTGACTGTGGGAGAACAAAGCGCACCTCAGTACAGAACTGGTAGCACGGTAGCTCGTCAAAATGCCTCAGAGGGAAACACGTGGCATTTCGGGTTCAACTTGGAAATATCCGACAGTGAAGTGTGCCACCTACTGACCCCCGCCAGCTCCTGAGTCGCAGATTTCAATGGGTGCTGAGAACAAAAGGCTTTACGGTGTACATGCAAGTGAAAGACTCCATCTCATCACCTCTGACACCTGAACATTCAGCCCAGCGATGGAAGCCTGTTCCCCGGGTGTAATACGTACTAGCATCTTCACCAATAGTTCAGCGTTCATACAGCCACCGTGCAACGGAGGCAACATTCTGAAACTGAGGTTTCCTAGCTGCAGTCAAAGCAGAGCTTTGCCAATTTGGAATCTACGAATTTGAAATAACTCACTTACATAAAAGAGATCTCCTTTTATGTGCAAAATGTGAAATAACAAGACTTGCTCAAAATGTAAATGCTCATCCAGAAACACAACTTGGTGAACTGTTTACTTCATTGCAAACTGGGTTGGTACACTAATATGCCAGCGAGCCCTCCTCAGTATTATCCTAGAATGCCCGTTATTCTGGAATGTATAGCACTGGAACTTCTACAAGTAATTTCCCTCTATACTATACTCACGGCTTGATGAAGTACTTCTTTTTCATGTAAGGATATCATCCAAGTTGTCAGTACGTAGCTACTATGGCTAGCGCTTCAAAAGCTATACCGAAATCAGTAATTATGAGAGAAAAGTTAGTTGCGGTAAAATCTTTTGCAAAAAGCCAAGAGACTTCAAAGGCATGTTGTACTATTAAGTTACTCTAAATAAATTTGTAAAACATTAGAAATACTGCTCAGAAAATAAAAAGCTGCAGTAAAGCAAAAATGTGCCATAGTGGACTGTATGTAGATCTATGCGCTTTATTGATTAAATTAACATTTATTCCTATGAAAACCCATTCTTGAATTAAATGCATTTTTCCCAAACACTTCTTCTTTTGAAAAGATGACATAACCAGGAAAAGAAACAACAATTTAAATAAATATGCTTAAGGATATATTTCTCTCTCCTCCATCCATGCCCTACACTATATGCAAAGCAAGGCAATATTCACTTCCCAGACTCCTCAGGAGGAGAGTGGAACCTAGACAGAGGTGGGGAGAAATAAACAATGGATGCTACAAATGGCTAAAAGCCAAGAAGTAAAGCCCGCCCCCCTCCCCCAGGCGACTGGACTTGGCCAACCCTAAAAGCACACCCACTCCTAAACTGGGATAAGGCCTGGGCCCCGATCCTCAAACAATTAAACTATCCCTTACGCCACATTGTAAAACTATGGGTTGTTATTCATTAGTAGGTCATGAAAGCAGTTAATGTTAACGTGACCTACATTTTTATAAGAGGGAAGATAAAATAAATGAAGTTTTAAATAATGTGCTAAGGACATGTTTTAAGGGCTGTTTTCTGATGCTTTTGTTTCACCTATGTTGGGGACAGCAATGTACATTCATTTCTCCTACGGATAACCTCCAACGGGCTTGAGAATCAGTGACTCACATAATACCACTGCCATGATCCGTTGCGGAGGGCGCCACACCTGTCCCAATAGCCTGCCCAATCAGGCCAACAACTGACTCAACAACTGTCACTGCTGACCAAGTTCAATGAATCACCTGGCCTTGAAGAGAAGCTCAGGGCAATCACACACATGATTATAGGTCCTAGTCAAACAATCACTCAAGCCACTGTTTCCCTCGTGTGAGTGTGCGCTGTGATTATTTCCAGAGTGGGGCAGATTTTCAACATTGACCATTTTCAACCAGAATCATTCAATGAACACCAGCTCTCTTTGAATATCTAAATTCCTAACAATGGCATCACCCATTTCTAAAGGCAAAGGGAGACAGATGTGCATTTACATTTACAGTGGAAGGATATGAGGAAAGAATAAGACGAACCAAGTCATAAATATCCAAAAGACGGAACTTAGTAGACAGACTGTTGGTAAGTATACAAGGTTCTTATAGCCGACCAGCAACCTAGAAGAGAAAGGATAGACATGGGATTAGTGAACTTCACGACTCATGTTCACTTAGCTCTGATTGCCCCCAAGGCAGTAAGAGTGGTCATGAAAGCTTCCACGTACTAAGTGCTTGCTGGGAGCCACTTTTCTTGTGGCCACGGAGTTCTACAACCCCCACCCACTTGACCGGAGGAAACTGAGGAACAATGCTTCTAAGGGAGTGTATGTTCCAGGTCTGATAACTGACGTAGGCGTGATTTCATCCCCGATCATAAAATATAATTTTCATGAAACGGAGCCCGGTGGCATAGCGGCTCTACATTGGGCTGCTGACTGTAAGGTCCACAGTTTGAAGCTCCTGGGCGTGCCACAGGAGGAAGATGGGGTTTGACTCTTCTGATAGTTCCAGCCTCAAAACCCACAGGGGCAGTTCTGCCCTGTCCCACGGGTTGCTATGAGTCAACATTGGCTTCATGGTAGTGAGGTTGCTTGATTTTTAATTTTTTTATATTGTAATGCATACGTTGCATGTCTATTCATCTTCTTTGCATATTTGCATTTTCTGATATGTTGCATTTCCAAATGCTCCAAAGTGCAGAATGTTAACACTTAGAAATCCGCTTTCACATTTAACATGCTCTCCTCGAGGGTTACTCTTCTGTGAAACACACAGGTGTGTACACGATCGTAAACAAGTATGCCTGTCCTGCTAGCAGCTCGAGCAGCCAACGCTCTACAAAGAAGAGTGAGGTACAGGGCTCAAGTGGCCTTGTCATCGAATACGAATGAATCCCACTTGGATAGAAGGCAACCGTAAGCCCACATATAACTTACTCAACTGCCTAGTATTACAAAGTCTTGGAAAAATGTCTTTCCTAATACTCAATACAGTCAACGTATCTATATGAATGCATTTTAAAGTTTATCCCAGGAATTGATGGTCGGTGGGTATGAAGGTTTAGAAATGACGAGGAAGGCCTCACTAAGGAGCTGGTGCTTGAACTGAGGCCTGATTGAGGAGGAGACTCCAGCTATGGCGCCACAAAGATACAAGCAAGAGCTGTGGCCCCAGGTAGGAATAGCATGTGATCCAGAGAGAGAGGGCTGTATGCAGGGAAGGAAGAGAGGGAGAGAGGAAGCCAGAGAGGGAAGAAGTGAGTGACCTATGTTCATAGCCCGTGAACATTAGGGCCTCGGGTTCTATTCTAAGTATAGTTATAGCAGCCGGCCTGTATAGAATTCTGTGCCTTTTTTTTTGCAAGATCAGAAATACATTTTGGGGGCACTTCGGGAGTAACTGGCTGCCAGTATGTGACAATAAACTTGCAAGAATTTAATTTGTAAACTGCAATCTCAATTTACTGAGTGTCTTACATGCTGCCGGACTTGCTCCCCCAAAGCCCCTCTCTGAGGGTGGCCAAATGGCGCTAACCTGCAGGTCTCAAGGACTGAGTCAAAATATAAATCAATAAATAAAGGACTGAGTCAGAAGTGGGCACAACCAAAGCTGGAGGCCTGGTTTGAAAAAAATAAATTGGAAAATTCTGAGAAAGAAAAGCCACCGGAGAGTTTTGAGCTGAAGAAAAGACAGGAACTAGCCTGCCTTTTAAAAAGACCACCCAGGTGATTAGGTGGGGATCAGGTAGCTCCAAACAAGTCAGGGTCAAGCCAGACCAGTTAGAAGCTTGTCGCTGTCTGTAGGGCTGGAGAGGAGCCAACTGAATGAGCATAAACTGGCTACCGAGGGAAAAGAGGAAGGACTGCTCATGGGCCCGAAGTGGGAAGTGGGAAGAGGGAAGTGGGAAGTGGGAAGTGGGAAGAGGAAGCATCAAGGGTGATTTCTTGCATGAAGAACGGGATGCCATCCTACTGAGATGGGGAAGAGAGAAGGCGGAGAAACCAGGGCAATGAGAGATGACTATTAAGTACGAATTGTGTGTCAGGTGTTGTTTTAAGCGTTTTACATATATAAACCCATTCAATCATAAGGTAGACATTATCACCATTACTGTTCCCATCTTACAGATGCAGAAATGAGGCACTGAGAGGTGAAGCAACTTGTTCAAGCACATGTTGTCATGTCGGAGATCTGACTTGAACACAGGCAGCCTACATCTGACTTCTTAATAATTATAGCAAGTCTATCAATACTTTCCTAAAAATTGGATCATATCACAATGAATATTTATAACCTCCTGCCATTTAACTAGGTTGTTTAAATGAAAAACCAAAAAGAACAAACATGACTGCATTAATGTGGACTCAAAAAACAAAAACAAAATTTCTAGAAAACGGGCAAAAATGCTGAGAGGCACAATGGTGTCCGAATCTCTCTATACTTACCAAACTTACTAAGTCAAAAAGTGACAAATACTTGTTTTCCCCCATTTATCATTTCAATAAAATTTGTAGGCTGACCCATTTGCTTTCAGTCAAATCATATGGTACCAAACCCGTTCCTTCCATCAGTCCTGCGGGTTTTGCTATGTAGTAACATTCCCAGCAGTCAAAATATGTGATTCTTTATAATTAACAACAGAAATAAGCAATTGAATTAGCAATGCCATGACGAGCCTTGTAAAGAGGAATATACACACCTTGGAAATAAAGATGTCAGGAAGAACAATATTACGAGCAGGCTTCCTTTCAAAAGCCAGGAATCAGAATTGAAGTCCAGGATGTACCCGACAGCCCCCATGGCAATCAGGGAGAGCATCAGCATCAGGAAGAGCTAGGAAGAGATTCAGAATGTCAGCACACGATGGATTTTATGCGTAACAATCATTCCCTCCATAGAGGAACACTTCTTAAGGGCACAATAACCACAAGTACAAGCAGCAGCACTCACGTGAAGAATTCTTCAAAAGAGTGCATCAATCAAGCCTGACGATGGAAACATTACAGATTTCATAGACAACCTGTATTGGAGAAGCCCTACGTGTTAAAAACATTGCTGAGACATATTTTGATTTGTTTTTCTCCCCATATGTTGTGGTCCTTTGAGAAAACGGCTGGTGAAAAGCCGTGATGTTTACAACCTCCTTCCGACGGCATTACCTATCAGACGCATAACATAAGCTAAAGGGAGCACGCAAACCCCAACATGGAGGTGGGGAGAACAAGAGCTCCCACTGGAGCACAGCAGGGTGCCATGCCCCAAGGCAGGACACAAGGTTCCAAGAAACAAGTTTTCAGAAGAGATGCCCTTCCCTTGGGCATGTGCAATTTTAAATGCCCAGGAATGTCTGGGGGATGTCTAGGAGATAGGCCGTTACAAAAGCAGGAGTGTCCCTCCGGAGGAGCCTTGGAGTTTGTCACTGCAAGTCTGTGCCACTGAACCACGCAACATGCTCTGTGAAATACAAGGCTTTGAGAATGATGAGGGCAATGAATGTACAAATGTGCTTTACACAATTGATGTGTGTATGGATTGTGATAAGAGTTGTATGAGCCCCTAATAAAATGATTTTAAAAAAATTAAAAAATACAAGGTTATGTGATCCGGATGCTGTGCAAACACCCTATTAAAGCCTTCTGGGAGCCCGCTGTCAGTACCTTCACATAGCTGCTGCTCTGCTGTGCCCGCGGACGGAGGCGAGCAGGACAGGTGCAGCCTCAGTGAATGAGAAGGTAGCAGTGGGAACAGACTGAGAGGCAGTGGGCGGGGAAGAGTGGCACGGGCCCAGTCCCACCTGCTGTGCCAACTGCCTGAGCAGCAGGAGCCACCTGGGCCCCACGCCCCCCCTGCCTGCCCACTGAACAAAACCTGAGAGCCCATGTCCACAGCCCTGTCCTCTGCCTGTATCTAACCTGTGCAGCTTTGCAAGAGTCTACTTTGGGGGGCTTTAAAACTTTGGGGGACAAAGAATAAACAAAAGGAGTGCTACTTCCCTTCAAAACAATAACAACAAAACCCACAAAAACGCCTCATGGGACGGACCAGGGACATATACATGCAGTCAGGTGTTGCCCAAATGGATGTTCAGGGATGCATACTTAGATGGAGCGCTTCAAAGAGTTCTGCTATCTTTTCCTTCTATTTTTAACAACCCTTTTGAAGCACGTCGATGGTAGGCAGTGAAGCCAGGAGCAGACAGCCTGCAGAGCCGTAAAGGCAGTGTCTGGGGCAACGCAGTTAATTAGAGAAAAAGAAAAGCCAGAGGCCCAAAGGGACTCAAAAGGCATACATAGGAAAGAGACAGGCCGAAAGAATGAGGGGAAAGGAGAGGTCCAGAGAAGTCCTTGGAAGAGTTTCAAAAGGGAGTCCTTCTCGATGCCAAGTGCCTGCACAGAGGTCAAAAGCTGAAGCGGGTCCTCAGGATGCAAGAAACTCAGGTTATTTTGGAAGAGTGTGTGTGAGCCTCCATTCTGACTGCGTGATGAAAGGCGCCGGGTAGGATACTTGGGCAATGCGTTTCCTTAACTACAACACACGTGCCCTCCCCCCTCCTCTGCCCACACACACCAAACAAAGCACGTCTTTGGAATAGCAAAGAGGAAAAATATGTTCCGCCCTATCTTCTTTAAGCCATATTCTGTTTCCTTCTTTAAGTCATATTCTGGGTGATGACTATAAGTCTTTAAAATGCTTCTGATTCTAATACACACGATGAGACATAATGAGTGAGTCCCAATTCAAAAAAGAGATAAACTTAGAATCTACAAGCAACATCATCTCACAAGCAAGGCACAGTACTAGGCACTTGGGACACAATGAATTTAATTAAGGCTGTCCTCTCATGGAACTTACATCCTATCAGCAGAGATAAACAAATAAACAGAGTAGGTGCATTTCCGTGTGTAGAAAGATGGATCACAAGAGCATGTAGGCCATTGTAACAGACTTGGTGTTTACTCTGAGTGAATGGGGATTTTGAGGAGATACTGGACAGGATTTGACTTTTCCTTTAAAAACAATTCACCTGGCTGCTCTGTTGAGACTACACTAAGAATAGAGAGAGGTCAGAAAGATTTGTCAGAGAGGCAGCTACAGGAATCCAGCGGTGGGTGGACCAAAATGGTGTTCATTGGTAGAGCGATGAGAAGGGGTCAAGTGCTCAGACATACTGAAGGCAGAGCCAGGCAGCATGTCTTTCTGACGGAGGAGGGGGCAGTGGGCAGAGACAAGGTGGGGCAGGTTACAGGGCGAAGGGGAGGGAGGAGCTCGGGAGCTCAGCACGGAATAGCTTCTGTTGATAATGCTTAGGAGACACTGGATTGGCAGCTGACTGTACGTCAGGAATGGTCTGGAGTAGAAAGAGAAACATTTGGAGCCGTCAACATATAGAGGACCAGATGACGGCACAATGGAGTGGGCAGACAGCAAAGAGGTCCAAGGACAAAACAAACCCTGGGACACTAGCACAGTGGCTCTCAACCTCCCTAATGCCACGACCCTTTCACACAGTTCCTCATGTTGCGGTGACCCCAACCATAACATGATTTTCGTTGCTACTTCACAACTGTAACTGTGCTACTGTTATCAATCAGGCAAGCCCTGTGAAAGGGTCATTTGACCCACAAAGGGGTCGCGACCCACAGGTTGAGAACTGCTGCATCTAGCAATAAGAAGTAGGAAGAAGAGAAGATATTGGCAGAGGAGACTAAGGCCTACCTGTTACTTCTTTCGCTCCCTCAATCTACCTATGTGCAAAACAGGTATAGTATGCATGACCCTCTGCCTAGAAATCTGCTAATTTAGGATCACTCCAAAAATGTAATTACTAATTAATAAAACAGGATAAGGTCATCGTGTTTGAAAATGCCCAAAGCAGGGAATCAATCCAACATCCCGCTTAATAACCTGAATTGTATTCACTGTGTTTTCTTAAGTCATCCCTGAGAACGAGCTGAACTTCCCAACTTTTCCAAGGGTCCAGTTCACTCCAAATTGCTAAGCTGGGAAAAAAATGAATCAGATCTGAGTTTCAACTTTCAAGTAAAACGCCAGATGTGTGACCTTAAGAAGAGGTTGTATGTTACATGTAAGTGTCCCGTGCTTTTCAAAAATTCACTTTTACAAAAGATCTACATGAGTACCTGTTTCTGCTGATGGAAAGAAACTGGAGGATTTTTGTTTTACTTAAGAAAGTGAAACTGGCACTTAGCATTTGCTTTTCGCGAGTCTTCAGCGTGGCAGCCCCCCCCCCCCAGCAGTGAGAGCCCGGCCACTAAGCTCCTTCCCCAGGAACTAAGCCTCGCCCCAGCGAGCGCACCAAGCCCCAGGGATGGGGCGGGGCCTGTGGACGCGAGGTGAGTGCTACTTAGGGTTCATCTGCCGTTTGCTATGATCTAAAGGGCTGTTTGGGGGGGTGGGAATACCCAAAGAAATGTCCCATATGAATTACTGGTAAAGACGCTCCACTTTACGCCATTTTGGCTTACCAAAGCTTTCACTGGAATGCTCTGCTCGTCCGATAAGAGGGGACGCCTTCCTTACCTGAAGTCTGTCGCACTGACATTTTAAAGTCTAACTCCTCATGATTCTAAGAAAACATTTTGAGCGCTAACTATTTTCCTTTCAGAATATCACCAAAAACACTTCAATGAGCAACAGGCTAAGAAAGCATCTGTAAAATTTCCTGCAAAAATATTTTTCTTCTTTTTGCTTTTCTAAGAATCTATACTACTTGCATTTCACTTCAACTAATGGATAGAAGCAGAAGCACGCCAAAATGTTCACAAGGCAACCTGGGGCTCCGGAGCGCCATGTAGTTGAGGGCCGGCATACAGAAGCGGAAGCAGACATCCAGTGTCCAGCCCTGGGGGAAAGAGACTCAGCAGACAGCGCACAGCAGTGAGCCCACCCTCAGGCTTGCCCTATAAACCCCAAACGCTCTTTCAGTCCTTAAAACAGGGCCCGGAAGAGAATACCTCGCATTTCTGTAGCCACCTCCAAAGTCTGAAGTTCTTGTGGGCTCTCATTTTGGCCTCTGTTTGTAGCATGTGAATAATGAGTCGGTTTTTGGTTTGTAGAGCCATATCAAGAGGCGTTTCTCCCTTTAGAAGAAAAAAACCTTTCAATTATATTTTCACTCTATCATGCACGTGAGACTTTAAAAAAAATTCACCAAAATCAGCACACATATTATTATTATTTACATCTTCCTGTGGTAATGGAAAAGAAAACATGCAGGTTCTCTTTACGCTACTTTATACATCTTCCAGTGAGAGAGATAATAAGCTAAGGGAGAGAAATACCTGGTTCATACCTTAGCATTTTGGATATCCAGGTTAGAACCAGCTTCCAAAAGTTTGTCAACTGCATTAACATTTCCCGCTGTGACTGCCCAGTGAAGTGGAGAGTTTTGGTGTATTTTGTCAACCACATTGAGAGAAGGATTGAACTTTAATAGAAATCCAGTTGGCTCTGGCCTGTCTCAAAACAAGAAAATGCCGATGGGCACTTACAGGGATGAGGATTTGAGGGGTAAATGCAAGCAACTAACCTCTTAAATGAATGCACCGATCAAGCAGGCAGCACCTGCCCCCAAAGAGTGAGGGGCTTCTTTGTGTGTGGCATTACTCTGTGTGCTACAGAGGGGTTTTTAAAAAACGTCTCAGCTATTAGGTAACAGCCCACTTGCTGTAAAGATAATGGTTTTGTTCTCTTTAGTAACTTCTTATTAGGAATTAGATGAAGGTTTACAGAACAAATCTATTTTCCATTTAAAAATTAATTCACAAAAAAATAAAAAAATAAAAAATAAATAAAAATAAAAATTAATTCACTTCCACCCCCCACCCCGAAAATAAACATTTAACATAAAGTAGAATAAGTGCTTGTGTTCTCTATCCATTAGTTAATCATTTTTTAAATAAATCTTAAATTTAATACTGTCCAATAATAAATGTTGTGTTATCTATCCAATTAATGACTGAATGTACACGATTATATTTTAGGAGGTGGCTGTCCTGTAAAGAAAAAAAAAATCCCCATTGGTAGTTCTCAAAACTATTCACCAAAACTATCAGCACAGAGAACATTTATTTCATGAGTGCTTTTAAAACTAGCACTCGGGCAGAAGTCTGTCTCACTGCCCGATGCGTGGACACCTCCTTTTCTTCTTTAGCATGTAAAGTCATTTCACATAGACTGAGACACTTACATTCCATACACAGACAGGAAGCTGTCAGAGCCAGGAACCAGAATGAGGCGGCGCAGTTCAACTCACTTACCCAAGTACTTTGTGAGCTGATAACATGAGAGGCGTCTGCCCATTTAAATCTGTCATATTCACACTCTATTCAAAAGAGAGAGCATAAATCAGAACAGCTTTTCAACTAGGACATCTAAACTCAGTCAAAATTCTTTTTTCTCTCTGCCCTAAATCTAAGTACCCCTTTAAGACACCCAATCAGCACGATCACTGTGTCCACAGAAGGGCTCTCGTTTCCTTTGAATAAAAGAACACTGCTTCACAACCACAGACCTCTACAAAAGATTTTTCAAGGGGAAATCTAAGCATCAGATTTAAACTATGGGATAGGGTGAGTCAAAACTCACTGCCAAACACACTTGGCTGCTGTGGTTGGCAGTTCGAAACCACCAGCGTGCTCCTTGGGAGAAAGATGAGGCTTTCTACTCCCATAAACTCCATCTCAGAAACTCACAAGGGCAATTCTGCCCAGTCCTATGGGTCGTTATGAGTCAGTGTTGACTCGCTGGCAGTGGGTTTGGTTTTGGGGACAGAGGGAGTGGAAAAGAGCAGGCAGAAAAACAATGCTGAAAACCTGACCACTCTCACCAAGTAGACAAACCATGAAAGACTTCAGAGGTCATTTGGTTTGACCTGCTCTGACATGAATTCATACTGTATCTCTTGGCTTACTGAAATGCACCCCAACAGCATTTGTGCCAACATATCTCCCCGACTGTTACAAGAGTCAGCTGATACGTAAACGAGCCGGTTAGCAGGAAGCACATCCCAGTGCAGTGGAAGTGAAACTCCCCCAACAGTGACCTATGATTTCACCTGTGCACAAGAGGAGGCCTCTGCAGGTGAGCCATTTTTCATGGAATGACTTCCAGAGAACAGTAAGACGAGAGAATGTTCACATTGCCCTCCCATCTGGGCTCAAGTAACGAAAGCAAGTGATGGGTGAATTTAGTGATCTGACTACCACTTCTCGAACTGGAAGGAAAATACAGGCTCTGAAATCTTATTTTTGAAAACGGTACAAATGGCTGGGCTCACATAGAAAACTATCACAGGTTTACAAGTTTCAGAAACATCCAGCTGTATGTTTCTGAGCTAAATGACCTGTCTTTTTGGTCACCAATAAAGCTAAAAAAGTAGAACTCAGTAGGCAGACTCACTGAAGCTAATGTGTTAAATATCTGGGTATCTATAACTTTGAAAATGAGGACGTGCTATTCATAATACTCTACCGAAACTTTTCAGATTTACAAATCCTCAAGTATAGAACAGATTCAAAAAACATACCTGTCCTTTTGAGATGAGATATGCTATAATAGGCATGTGCTGAAATAATACTGCCAGGTGGATGCTGCTGAATCCCTCTCCATCGATGAGAGTGGGGTCTGCCCCATGCTGTAGTAACAATATGACCATAGGTAAATGCCCTTGTCTGTAAGCAAAAGACAAAACATTACGCTGTATTTTGTAGCTGTGTGTGTGTGTGTGTGTGTGTGTGTGTGTGTAAAAACAACAACAACTTAGGGAGGACCTAACATGAGGGACTCGGATAGAGCATTTCCTAATTGAATTTACAAATGTTTTATATTTAGATGCTCCAGACTTAGAACTCTCTGGACAGTCCTTCTTGAGCACAGGCGATGAACTTGGTAACAATGTATAAAACTTATTCATGACCAATGCTATGGTATCAGGAAAGGAAACAACCCTGACATGGCCCTTTCCTGGTTTTAAACCACATGGTAGTCCCTTGTTCTGTTTGAACGTCTGCCTCTTGGTCTGTGTCCAGGTTCCACATAAGCATGGTGAAGTGCTCTGAAATGCTCATTCTTTGAAATACTATCTATAATTTGTTTTGATCTGCAGAGTTAGCAGCATACAAGTCAACACCTTTCTGGTATTCTCTGCTTTCACCTCAAAGCTATCAGCAATGATAGCCCTCATGCCATGTTCTCCTCTGCATCTGGCTTGTATTTGGGGCAGTATTGCTGCAACTGATATTATTTTTAGAAAAGATATATGATGGGGCTTCAAAAAGTCAATGGAAAGAATTTCTAGCCTTTCATTTTTTTTCACCCGTGTTTGAAGTCCCCATATATATAAGCTTATATGGTTCAACTCCCTTATCATCTTCCATGTAAAGTACTGTCCCTCAAAGTTTAAAGGGGATGATGCGTTAACTCCAGATTCGTCAGCACTCTCGGGGACTGAGTTAGTTAATTGTGCCAGCCTGGCCGATAATCACATGTGGGGCTGGTTGAAAGGCGGAGGGATAAATGGGTGGTGAAGCCTCGCCTTTCTAGTTC